TTTAGATGAACCAGGACCTCCCATTAATTTTTACATTGCAGTAAGGGCAGTAGAAATTGTTTAATTTCAAAAAGAATCTTACGCGTCTAAAATAGTTTCTAATTATCATTTATGTAAAGTAACAAATAAATTTATTTTATCACTTGATAAAGGCTGGCGAGTTATCAATCGATGAGTAAATACATTTCGGATTCAATTTTAATATATATATATTTAGGTGAAAAAAATTGTTGGTTCGTTTTTGAAGACAACTCTCAGATTTATAAAATTACTAGCCGAATGACCCGGGCAACGCCCGTGTTTTACACGATTGAATGTTTTTATTCAAATACTATTTGTTACAATTATAAATTGGCGCCTTAAATAAATGCATATATTAGTTAATAACTATAGCCTATGTGCTTCATCTGTCTATGTACTGTTGGCTTCCGTAGGCGTCTCTTACTGGGAAAAAGAAAGAGAGGATTCCATTTGGTTATTAACTAATATATGCATTTATTTAAGGAGCGACCCGCTCCAACACAATAGTTACAAAAACCAAAAAGCGAGTGGGGGGCATGATGGGGGGGCAAAGGTGGCGTGATCGTAGCCAACCAATAGGAGAGCGCCATTCCAAAAAAAAAAGCAAACGGTGACAGAGATGAAGAATTAAGAACGCATGACGCTCGTAACTGTATATACAATTTTATTAAACTTTAAACATTTTTAGATATATATAGAAACGAATTAATTATCTCGTATTTAAGGCAACAAAATATTCATCATTTTTATACATTTTCTAACCAGATTCAACTTGTGCAAAACAGACGACAAAGAAAAGAATAAACAAATTAATAATAGAGGGTAAGTTCCTATTTTTTGCAAGCTTTCACACTCAAAGAATATTCAACTTCTTGCTTCAACTACGCTGACGAGGGACAACAGCCCGAAACGCATACTTGGTTTGCTTTTCTTAATTTAACAAGAAAAATAGAAAAATTATTTTTCATCGCAGTTAGCAAAGTAGAAATTTGTTTATATGTAAATGGAATATTAGTGATTTAATGCTTTCAATTCTTATATAAACTAATTTATTAAGAAAAAGGCATCTCCTTATCGTGCAACTGAAAGTTGCTGATGGCTTGCGCCATCTATCGGAATAAATATCAACTATTCTCGTTGATTTTTAATTATTCCAGAATTGGCCAAATACCCATTCTTGATTAATCAAGAAAAGCTATCTACGGAGTTTATGTAATTTATGTAATTAATGTTTTAAAAATAGAGCAATCCATAAATAAATCTTTAACCTTTTTACCAATATTTCAGTTGGCTGAACGCCAACCTTTATCAAGGTATTATCAAGGTATTTTTGTTATATTCAATGGGGAGAAAAAAATTTATATATATATATGATAATATATATTTAAAAATAAAGATGGCATCTCTTGACCACGAGCACACGTGCTTTTTAGATGGCAGAGCGCCATCTAGTGGAGCAAAAATAAACTAAACGTGATAAATCAAGAAAAGCCATCCACGAACGCGTTTCGCGCTGTTGGCGCTCGTCAGCGTGGAGTAAGCTGTAACCACTGCTACCAAAAAGATTTTTGATCTCAATGGCTTCTTGAGAAATCAAGAAATGGGCATTTAAGGCCAAATTTGCGTAAAGACGTTTGTAAAGTGGGTCAGGTGTTGATATTAAAAATAAAGAAGGCATCTCCTGACCACGAGCACATGTGCTTTTTAGATGGCAGATTTTTTAGCCCTGTTTCCATATACCAATAAAAAATATATATAAAAGCGATCTCTTTCAATAATGAAATCTTAATAATAAAATTTAAATGAAATTACAAACCTAAGATTTTTTTTTTCCCAAGATGGAAGAAATTATTATAAAAAAAAGTCAAATAATAGAATAACTGAGTAATATATATTAAACGACTTTTAAAAATCTGTTAAAGCAATTAAACACAACGCTTCTATAAAGGAATTTGAAATATGTTCGGACCTGAATAGATAACACACGCTGTTCTTTTTTTATTATTTTTTTAAAGCTAAAAAGGCCCAAGGCAAATATTCTTTAATAAAGGCCATTGATTGCCTTAGGTAGAATTTTCAATAAAATCTTTTTGCGCGCGAAATTAATTTTTTTTTTTTTTAAATAAAGTTGGAATTTTCGTTCCCTCCAACCCCCTCAAACCCTTATCTTTCTAATAATTTTGGGAAAATACGAAATTAATATCGGAGATTGTTTTTTTATTTTCATATATCTTTCTCTCGTGACTTATATTAATATCTGCCATAAAACTTCTATTTACGTGGATAAAGTGAATACAATTTTGATTATTCTGATAAATTTGTGAAGATGGTGACCCATTTAAGAAATACATTTGATTGGTTTATGGAATTCAGTCAAATAATATATCTTTTGTTGTTCTCTGTTTAGAGCAGGAGTTTTCTATACAGAGTAGGGGTTTTCTGTTCAGGTCAGGGAATGTTATGTATAAAGCAAAGATTTTCTGTTCGTATCGAGGAATAATCTGTCCTGAGTAGGGTTTTTTTTGTTCAGAGCAGGGGTTTTCTGTTCAGAGCAGGGGTTTCGTGTTCAGAGCAGCGAATTTTTTGTTTAGAGCAGGAATTTTCTGTTCGAGCAAGGGTATTTCTGTACAAAGCAGGGTTTTATTTTCGGACCAGGGATTTTCTGTTCAGATCAGGAAAATTTCTGTTCAGAGCAGGGGTTTCTGTTCAGAGCAGGGGTTTCTTTTTCAGAGCAGGGAATAATCTTTTCAGAGCAGAGGCTTTCTTGTTCAGATCAGGGTTTTCTGTTCAGAGCAGGAAATTTTATTTTCAGAGAGCAGGTAATTAATTTTAATTGTGTATTTTCAATAAAGGTCACTGTAATAATTTTCAGAGTTGTTGTCTGAATACCGACATACAGGCTAAAAGCCACAACTTCCTTAAGTTTTGTCCATGAGTGTATCTTTCAGAGTTATTGTCTGAATCCCGATATACATGCTAAAAGGTACAACTTCCTTTAGTTTTGTCCATGAGTGTATATTTCAGAGTTATTGTCTAAATACTGATATACATGCTAAAAGGTACAACTTCCTTAAGTTTTGTCCATGAGTGTATATTTCAGAGTTATTGTCTGAATCCCGATATACATGCTGACATATACAACTTCCTTAAGTTTTGTCCATGAGTGTGTATTTCTATCAAATATTATTATTTTATAAATACATATTAGATAGCTTTATTTTATTCTCTTCAAAAATAAATTATGCCTTTTTGCCTGAAACATAGATTCGACCAAAACACTACGAAATAAAACTAATTTTGTGTTATATCATTTTTTAAAATTGCGCACCTTTTTTATTAAAAAATCCATCAAAATAGTAGACGTAATTTAAAGTATCTTGGTTGAGTGATTTTTATAAGAACTTAAATGCATACCTTCTTTATGCAAATCATTTTAAAATGTAATAAATGGGAAAAAATCGGTAATTTTTCAGAAAAAAAACTTCCCCATAATGAAGGTATCTAATGGAATAAATTGGAAGAAAATTCCAAAAGTTGGGTGAAATCACAAAAATAAAAGTTTTTTTTTTTTTTCACTGAAAAAGGTTCTATTACATTGGGATTTTTTTTCTCTCACACGCTAAATATTTAAACTTTCATCCGAGAAATTGATTCTATCAAATATTTAAAACGCAGGTAAAATCTGGCAACCTCACTGCATCCATAATATTGTGGTTTTATTTATTTTATTCTGTGATTGTTTATATATAGATATATATTTTTGAAAAAGGCATTTCCTTATCGTGTAACTGAAAGTTGCTGATGGCTTGCGCCATCTATCGGAATAAATATCAACTATTCTCGTTTATTTTTATTAGATGGCGTAAGCCATCAGCAACTCAGTTGCACGATAAGGAGATGCCTTTTTCATAATTTATGCACCTTATCCCAGTACAATTTCACACAAATTTGTACTATTTTATATATATATATTCGTGGATGGCTTTTCTTGATTTATCAAGAAATTGGGTTGGCCAAATATCAGGGAACAGGCTAAATCAATGTTTAGTTGATTTCTGTTCCACCAGATGGCGCTCTGCCTTCTGTAAAGCACATGTGCTCCTGGTCAGGATATGCCATTTTTAATATTGATTTCAACACCTGATCTTTTTATCTTCTATTTTTTCTTTCGTTTTTTAATATATATATATATATGTGTGTGAATATATTGTATAGATATTGTAATGGGGTGTGGACGGGATATTAAGGTGCTAAATAACCACATCTCCCTTTAAATATAAACAATAAAACAATACATTTCTTTGATTTTCTATACGTCGATTACGCCGATTCCAGAACTTCTCTCATTGAAAGTTACAAAATATCGTCATCCCTGTACTGATGAAGGCCATAGCTCGAACCTATGATATACATATTAATGGCTATTGTCCGAATTTACCAAAAGTGGTGTTGTGGCTTATTCTAATCTATATGGATCGGCGTGTACTATGAAGAAAGGTATCAAATGAATACATTTATATATTTTTGAAAATAGAGCAATCCATAGATAAATGTTTAATTAAAAAGGCATATATTGGATCAAAATATCATTTATTTTACCAATATTTCAGTTGACTGAATTCCAACCTTTATCAAGGTATTATAACATTTTAAATTGTCCTTTAGGACACACTTTAAAATGTTATAACACCTTGATAAAGGTTGGCGTTCAGCCAACTGAAATATTGGTAAAATAAATGATATTTTGATCCAATATATGCCTTTTTAATTAAACATTTATATATATATTTATAATACAATATAATGCGGTATGATTGTAGAACGACATTTAACAAGTTTTAGCTCTAATGTGTTTTTTTACAGGACGAAAAATCGCAATTTAAATCATTTTAAGGAGAAATAACGACTATTCCTATCCTTAGGGATGAAGTATGAAAGGATGAATTGTGAAGAGTAATGATAAACAGAAAAATAAAAGTGTCCAGGGATGGGAATCGAACCCACAATGTTCCGTTTATAGGAAAGATGCCATGTCCACTAGGCTACCCTGGACATATATTAGATAATTTAAAAAAAATAATTTGCCAATACTTTGTTTGGCTGAATGCCAACCTTTGTCAAGGCATTACATTTTTGTATAAACAAACTCAGCTTTCAATGGCGTCAATAGATTACAGTTAGAAAATATCTTTCGGAATATAAAAACTATTGAAAAATATTTTATTCAATCGAATCCGAGTATATGCCTTTTTATTATCTAAATATTTAAATAGTGCTCTATTTTCAAAACAATATTTTCTGTATGTGTGATAGATAATGGTGTTTTGTACAAAATAAAGTACAAATTTCCTTTTATAATTGCGTTTAAAACAACAATACTTCTGTAATTATGAAGCTCATAGTTTGAAACAATGTTAAAACGATTGTTGGTTTTTGTCCGAATTTACTTAAAGTGGTGTTGTGACTTATTCATTTTTTTATTAATTACAAAACATACGCTATATCCTATGTGGATATTTGCATGTAAATGTTAATTATATTTTATGTACATAGTTTTAAATTCTGAATATAGAGCAATCCATAATATATATTTATTTAAAAAATAAGGCTTATTTTGGATTTCAATAAGATTATTTATTAATCCGATATTTTGATGGACCAATCGTCCATCTTTTACGAGGGTTTTTGTTATTAATTTATTTTAAAAAATTAAAATAGTTTTAAATATATATACAAATTATTTATAGTTTTAGAGACTCTCTTAGAGACTGTTGTGACTTATTCACTAATTTGAATCTGCGACCTCTGCGGAAAGTACATCAATAAAATTCATTATTTGTTCTTAATCAATTTTAAAAGGGGAGAGGTGTTCCTCTCAATACACACATATTTATGAAAAAATGTATCTCCTTATCGTGCAACTGATATTTGCTGATGGCTTGCGCCATCCATCGGAATAAATATCCACTATTCTCGTTGGTTTTTTAATTATTCCAGAATTGGCCAAATACCCATTCTTGATTAATCAAGAAAAGCTAACCACGGACGCGTTTCGGGCTATTTGGCCAATTCTGGAATAATTAAAAATCAAAGGGAAAAGTTGATATTTATTCCGATAGATGGCGCAAGCCATCAGCAACTTTAAGTTGCACGATAAGGAGATGCCTTTTTTCATAATTATGCACCTTATCCCAGTACAATATCACATTTGTACTATTTTTTCACACATATTTGTATTAATTATAAATTAATAATGATGCATTAGCGCGCCATCTGCTATCAAAATTCGAAACTATTATAGACGCGTCTAATTCTTTTTAAAATAAAACAATTTCTACTTCTCTTACACCACTGATTGAGCCAGGCCCTCCCAATAATTTTTCCATTGCAGTAAGGGCAGTAGAAATTGTTTTATTTTAAAAAGAATTAGACGCGTCTATAATAGTTTCGAATTTTGATAAAAACAATAATGCGCGCCATCTATACATAACAAATAAAACTATTAGCACAAGGAATGCAACTTTTAGTTGAACTATAGGAGATTTCATATTTATTAATTTATTCACCTGATCCCCAGTATTCTTTTTTTGCTTGTGTAGCATTATTTTTTTATCAAATGAAGAATCTGTTACAGTATTATAAACAGGAAACGTATTTTGAGTCAAAAGGCGATCTCCATCAATTAAGTTTATATATAAAAGAACGTACATGGATCTGTAAATACAAAAAAAAAAAACTTTTTTTTTCTTAAAATATATCGAGAGATTTCTCCCTTTTTATCAATTCATTTCCATGTGATCTACAAGAATTTGTAAATTAAGTTTACTGTGCAATAAATTGATAAAGAGGGAGCAATCTTTTGAAATATTTTTTTTTTTACAGATCTAGGTATAAAGGTCAAAGACTCTTCCAGTAAGATATGTCAAGTAAGAAGTTTCAGAAGATTAGTTTCTTTTAATTGTAAAACATTACAAGCTTTCGGGCAATGCCCTTCTACAGGTAAAATAAAAATAAAAACAAAAATTAAAGGTAAATTAAGGCAACAGTTACTTAGTTGCCTTAATTTACCTTTAATTTTTGTTTTTATTTTTATTTTACCTGTAGAAGGGCATTGCCCGAAAGCTTGTAATGTTTTACAATTAAAATAAACTCATCTTCTGAAACTTCTTACTTGACAGATCTAGGTATGCCCTTTTATATAAAGTAAACGTATTGTTTTTTAAATCAATTAAAACAAAGAGAGAATAGACCATTTAAACTTAATCATCTCATCCTGAAATGTTCAACCAATGATAGAAAAGTAAATTGATTCATCTGGAAAACTAACCACACCACGCGGAAAACAATAATGACAACAGCTAAAAACAATAATTTTTTAGCAGACGATGTTGCTATTGTTGTCTTTTGATCTAAATTTATAATCGATAATCTCTATTGGAGTTTTTTTTCTTTAACCATGTTTTTTAGAACTATTAGCAAAGAAACATTGCCTCTCTCTTTCTATATAAGTTGTTTTCTTTCTTTCACCCTTTTTTTTCCTACAAAAACCGTTATAAGCTTAAATATTAATCAAATTTAGGAAATAATAAAAAATGTATTTTTAGTTGAAAACGTTTTTTTTTTTTGCTTTATGTTATTACTTATAGTTTTCAAAATTCGAAACTATTATAGACACGTATGATTCTTTTTTTTTTTTATAAACAATTTCTACTCTCCTTACTGCAATGAAAAAAAAAATTAATTGGAGGGCCTGGCTCATCAGTGGTGAACCCTCCCAAACTTATAGTTTTATTGAGATAAACTTATTCTAATGTCATTTTATATTCAGAAAAATATCTGATTTGATTAAACCATATAAATAAAAGTATTTTATGAGCATATAAACGCCTTAAATAACACTTTAAAACTATTTCCATAAAATATTTGTTTCATTAATTGCATATTCTCTTGTACCATTGACTTTTATTTGAAGCATACAACCCTCCAACATATAATATCGATTTAGCCTGTTACCTGATATTTGGCCAATAATTGATTTATCAAGAAAATGGGTTAGTCAAATATCAGGGAACAGATTAAATCAATGTTTAGTTTATTTCTGTACCACTAGATGGTGCTCTGCCATCTAATAAGCTCATATGAGGTTGTCAGGATATGAATTATAAATTTAATATATATGAAGTGTTGGTGTCGTGATTAGACGGACAACAACTCAAACTTGACCATGACTCTTTATTTAGCTCTTATTCTTCACGTTTGGCCAACAACAAATGTCCAATTTATATACACACTAGCCGAATGACCCGGGCAACGCCCGGGTTTTACCCGATTAAATGTTTTATTAAAATACTATTCTTTACAATTATAAATTGGCGTCGTGGATGGCACTCTTTTGAAACGTCCCGCTTCAATCTTTGTGTGTTTTTAAAATACAAAAAATAAAAATGTAAATTTTCACAACGATATTTGAAAATTGTATTATTTAGATTTTTTGCATGAATATATTTTAAATCTGATATATACATAAAATGATATGATAATGATAGCAAGTGATTTCTTGTTCCTACCCTGTCATTACGTCACTCAAGGTCACCGTCGCGCCACGTGGTGGCGCAGCAAACGGTGACAGAACGCATGACGCTGATAACTGTATATAGAATATATTCTTACATAACGAGGATTTAAATAATGCAAATCATCTATTTACATACACAACATGAAGTATAATTTATTTTTTTGAACACGCTAGAATTAACCAATACCGATTGGTTTATTTATTTCGACGAAACCTGGGTAAGCTTTCAAGACAATAAAATACCTTTCTTCATGACCCTAAAACGACCAAAAATATTTTTTTTCTTCAGTTTATTGTATTAAATCTGTTGGAAAAATATATATATTCGGTGGAGAAATAACGCTGTTAATAACGAAGTTCCTTTATTACTTAAATTGTATTTAATAAACAATATGGATGGATAAGCTATTAAAGAAATTAAACGATATAAAATTATATATGCACACGGGGGGTCGGTGGAAGGATGATCTAAATCATTGGTTTTCGACCGCTACGACCCGGGTTCGATTCCCGGATTGGGCACTTTTTTCTGGTAAAAAAAAAAAAATTCTCCGATGGTCCCCGATTCTTGCAAAAGTCCAACCCCACCAGCGAGTGCAAGTAACCAAACGAGGCTCTGGCACATTTGTAAGTGCAAAGTCGAACTGCTTTTCACATGTGTAGACATGTGATGCACTTACAGTAAAAGCAGTCGCCTACTTTTACCTACCATAATTATCATGGCCTGTACCACGTGTACTAGGGATAAGCAAACGAAAAAAATATACAACACACCAGCAGCTCACGGCTATCAGCAACCTGACCTATCCAATAACCTAACTACCTAACTAATCATGTTACGATATATAGGTAGATATGCAAATTAACATAGACAATATTACAATATGCAAATCACAAGAGTATTATATCGTAGAAATATCCCGGAATTTCCACTTTCAACAAGATCCGTGAAGAAAACCTTTTTCGTTTTGAAAAAAACTTCTCCCAGTTTTTATCGAAATTTAAAAAAGGAATCGTTATTGTTTTTAATTATTGTATTTTAAATAACATGATCTTTTTATGTTTATTTTAATTCAATTTTAAAATGTAACATGTATATGGAAATCATATTTATGTTTAAAAAGAATATTCTTAAAGAGAGAGATATAATGGTTAAAATTAAATGCATGGCTTGCCTTAGGTATTTGTTCTTTTTTAAAACCAATTATTTGTGTGTTGTTTTTATTATTTAGACATTTTAAAACGTAGTTTGAAGGAAATTAATTAAATAGTTTGTAAAGGATGAATTTTTACTTTGAAAACTAACAATTTAGATAATATTTCTACTGTATAATTTGTTTGTATTTCCTTTCGAGGGTTGCACCTTTAAACGTACAAAACTTTTATTAAGGCATTTAACCTCATACAGTTACGAGCGTCATTCTTCGTCGCCTCTGTCACGGTTTGCTTTTTTTTTTAATGGCGCCCTCCTATTGGT